TCCTCACAGAAGTGAGATTTTGAATGAAACAATACCCTCACAAAAATAGGAGGAAATAGTAGGTCGTGTCTTCTGTGGTCTGGATAGCTGGTGACAAAGGAGGCTAGACTGGAGCTGAGCCTTATGAGATTGGGGGAAAGACTTAGGGAACAAATGTAAAGTGAGTATCTGAGAAAATGCACACCATTCCAAGGAAAGCGGCCTTTGAGAGCAGAGACCATAATGATGATAATAAAGATGGCAGCTACCATTACAGAGCAATTGCCACAAGCCGCCAGTCACTGGACAAAGCTCTATAGAAACACCATCAAATGTAATCCTCACAACAGGCTGATGTGCTTAATAATAGCTCCACTTAAGGTCTGTGAGCGCTGCTGCTGCTAGACTAAATCTGAGCAGCCAGTGGTGGGACCAAAGTTAGACTTACACATGCCACCTCACTTGTGGCTAACCTGTGTCTCTGGGAAAGACATAAGTCAAAGTGTAACAGGTTAGCTTCTGTCTAGTTCCTATACCTGCCACAGGCATGTGTTTATACTGACATTCTTTAGTGGCTTTTATGGTACTGTAGGATAAGCACTGGACTGCTAACCTGCAAGGTTGGTGGTGCAAACCCATCAGATGCTCCTCGGAAACCCTATACAGGGTTGCTTTGAGTTGGAACTGCCTCAGCATCATTTAACAACAAGATGGCACAAAAGGAGGCCTGGTATTGCAGTGGGTTAAGCATGAAGCTACTAGCTGAAAGGCAGATGTTTTGAACTCAACAGCTGCTCCATGGGAGGAAGATGTGGCAGTCTGCTTCTGTAAAGATCACAGCTTGGAAATAGTAAGGGTTGCTATGAGTCGAAATTGACTTAATAGCAGAGGATTTGGTTTAGTTAGACGTCACAAATCATTTGTACTATACACTGGACCATAAGATTGGTTTTAACTGAAAGGTCAGTGGTGTAAACCCACCAGTCGCTCCTCAGAAACCCTATACAGCATCACTATGAGTCAGAACCAACCAGACAGTGCTTAGCAACAACAACACTAAGCTGAAGATTGGCAGTTCAAACCCACCCAGAACTACTGCAGAAAGTAGTGGTGGTGGTGGGGTGTGCCATGGCGTTGGTTCTGACTAATAACCTACAACCCTGTGTAGGGTTTCTGAGGCTATAAACCTTTACAGGAGCAGAAAACCTCATCTTTCTCCCAAGGAACAACAGCTGGTAGTTTCGAACTACATTGCGGTAGACCTGGCAATATACTTTCAGAAAGAAAGAAGCCAGGAGAATTCCGTGGACCGACGCTGGAATGTCATAGACTCCACAGCAGCTAACAACGGCACTTTTAGGGAAAGATCTATTTTTAAGTCAGAAATACCTGACCACATTCTAGATTTTTCCCTCCACACAGGTTACCAGTTGTGTGAGGAGGGAAAGATGAAGGAGAAAACATCTCCATGATTTCAGGCTCGAAGTGGCTGTGATCAAAGCCGCGGGGATTGGGGGGTGGGGGGAGGTCGTAAGCCCTTTCCATATTGTGTATCATGGAAAACTCAGCCATTTGGGTGTCCCTTCACAGACAGTTTCTGGGGCCACACAAGATTGTAAAAAGCTGTGTCTTGGAGTTACAAAACATCTTTCCTATGTTAAAGGCTCCGGGTAGAAAACAATTTCTCTTAGCTTAATTCCACATTTCTGGTGCCAGGAGTTAATGCGCTGGACCGCAAGGTCGGCAATTCACGTACACCAGTCACTCCTTGGAAACCCTATACAAGGTCGCTATGAGTCGGAACCGACTCAACGGCACTCATTGACAACAGAAAAACCTATCACAAGCTCACTCTTTTGGCTACCAAACAGAATATGGAGTGGTCAATACACTGGGGGAGACCCGGACTCTGTGAACACCAGCTGAGAAGCTTGGAAGTATTCTCAGGAGACAACACGGCAGTAGGGAGAAAGAGGGCCTTGATTTCACCACCCATGGCCTGCAGGCTGGTGGCTTGGATGTGCTCATGCACAATTCCATAAGTCACAGAGGTGAAGCCAAATGAGCTGTCAAAGAATATAAAGAGTTGAGTATGATTGTTCCAGCCCTAACATATTTATAGAGCCCTGGGCCTAGAAAACAATTGCTGCTTAGTGGGTGCAGTTTATAAGAGCAAGCATAAACTGCCCCAAACAGGGACAACTTATCCAACTGGATCTAAAACTCTCAGTGGCTCCAGGGGAAAGGTAGAGAAAAGTCAGAAGCTACTAGCCATGGTATGTAGGTAAACTGGGGTGCAGTCTGACTTTCTGAAGAGAGGTGTCAGCACAGAACTGGTGGAACACAGTGCTGAGTCACTGTCCAGGGTTCAAATACCATCTCTACTGCTTCCTCACTATATAACTCAGGACAAATGGTGCAATTTCTGTGAACCAGTTTCCACAACGATAAATGGAGAGAATCTAGTATGTACCTTGTAGGTTTGTTGGGAGGATGAAATGAGTGGCGTTTCCCAAGGGAAGTTCCACTAATGAAGCAGCATTCCTAGTCTATGCCAAGAAACATCTTAATTGTCACCCTAAGTATTATTAAGGGTGCCCATTATTTACTTTACCTAAAACTCAGCTCACTACCTTTTCCATAAAATTAGTTCTCTGTTTTACATCTCTGGTTCTCACCTTCGTCCCACAAACTCAAAACCATGGTATCTCCTTCCAAATGATCCACCTAATTGTCAAAACTTTGTTACTACTACCTCCACTGTGTATGCTTAGATAAATCACTTAACCTCTCCGGACCCTCTTTCATCTTCTATGTAATTGAAAATTAGGTGCTTAAACAGTGGTTTTCAATTTCTTCATACCATGGAACTTTTTCTACAAACAGTCCACTAAGAGGAAGTCTAGGATTTAACCCAAATGGGCTCTACATCCACAGATTCTAGATCTGGGTCAAGACCCAGAAATCTGTAGTTTATAACATCTCAGGTGACCCTGATGCACAGTTAACTTTGGGACGCATTGGTAAATCCTTACATGGCAGGTGCTTCGCAAATAGGAGAATGAGGAACAGCCATTCACACACCAGTTGATGCCAGCTTGCACTCATTTTTCAACTTAGGATAAAAGTACATAATCCTTGTACTTCCGGGTCTAGCTAAAGTTATTTAAAATTATTCTCTTATGCTCAAAACTGACTTTATATAGTTTAGGATCCAAAGACCAGCCAGGACTCTTCACCATGCAAACATGATTCTGTTGTAGGTTCCCATCCGTGGTGAAACTACTGGTCCAAAGTGAGATTCAAGTGGCCAGCTCAGACCTTTCCTTGGTCCTCTTAGAAGTGATAATGACCAAAGAGAGGAGGAAAGAAGCAGAGAGAAAGTGGGATGAAAGGATGAAGGCAACAGAAGGCAACACAGGCAGCAAAAACTTCACTCTCCAGTCTCTCTTGTCCCCTACTCTCTGCCAGACAGCACACTGTGAAGTTCAGTCACCTAGCACAGAAATGAGATGAAATTCCCAGAGAAACAGCACTCAATGAACACCAGCGTGCTTACTCTTGAGGTCATTATTATCCCTCGGATTGTAATAGAATCAATCTCAGAGTTTGAAAGCAACTTGTCAAATGGACTTTGGAAACAAATTGTAAAGATTCAAACTGGCATCCAAAGAGAGCTGGAGAATTCAGGCATACAAGTGAGGAATATGATTTGACTAAAGACCTAGAGCTTGGTGATGATGTTCCTAGTAGGACAGAAACTTAACAAAGCTAGAATTGTCCTGTCTTGAGAGCTATTCAACAGGACCTTGGCCGTTTGGTTTGAGGGACATCTAAGCACAATCGGAAGTTAGCATGTAGGTGGACGTAACACTTAGCTGCTTATTGCAAAAGGCAGACATTCTTGTTAAAAGGGCGCTCTTTTTTCTCTTACAAATAGTATCTAGGAAACTAGTAAAAGTTGCTTTAAAACAATCAAAGTAAAAAAAAAAAAAATGTGAATAGAGTAAATGTGGAAATGTTGGTAATTGTCTTATCTGGGTGATGGCTATGTGGAATTCATTGTAATTTTCTCTCTACTTTTGTTTGTTTAAAAGTTTTCATAATAACACCAAACAATTATTGATCTTTTCCTTAAAGACTACAAAATAAATTACTGATCAGTTATTTACCAAATTATGTATTAGAGGCAGTAAGTGATGCAGACCAGTTTATCAAAGTAAACCCTCAATCTGCTTTAGAAATGAAGGTTTGTAACCATTCTTCCCTTCTGTGGTCATTAACAAAAGTGTGGTGCTGTAAGATAAGCACTGAACCACAAGGTCAATTTGAATTACATGGTGGTGGTTCAAACTCACCAGTCACCATACAGAATCATTAAGAGTCAGAATTGACTCAAGGGCATTTAACAACAACAACATGGCCTACCTAGATTGACGGTTTCCAAACAAACCATTAATTTTGTTGTTGTTGTTGAATGAAGTCATAGGGGGAAGTCCAATATGTCAAAGACAATGGAGTAACTGGGGTGGAAGTGTGTATGTGTGTGTTTGTGTGTGTTTGACTGTGAGTATGAGTGTGCATGTTTGTGTGTGAATTTATATATGTGTATGAGTGTCTTTGTGTCTGTGTGTGGGTATGGATATGTTTTACGGTATATGTGAGTATATGTATTGTGTGTGAATGTGTGTGTTTATGTGTATATGTGAGTATGTCTGTGTGTGGGAGTGGGTCTGTGTGTGTGTGATGGAAGGTCACACACAGCTCAGGAGTGAGCCCTGTCCACTATCTTCACTATGGGACACTCCGGAAGAGGTTCCTGGAGACTCTTAGGTGTCCATGCAATGGATGGAGACACCCTTATCAGTCCTGTGTAAGACAACCTTTGTCTCCCACTTGAGCAAAGATATGTGGACTGCCTGTTATCTGTGTCTGTGGTCCTTGAATGTTCAGCCCTTGTTAAAGAAATGAATGAGGCTGACTGAGCACATCATAACCTCCACAACTCCCTTTGCCAACAGATATTGATTTTGCCACCCGCAAGATTGCAGTACGCCTGACTCAGACAAAGATCATTGATCAAAATGGTGATAACTTTAAGACAAAAACCAACAGCACGTTCCGCAACTATGACTTGGATTTCACTGTTGGAGTTGAGTTTGATGAACACACAAAGGGCCTGGACAACCGTCACGTGAAGGTACTGACACGGGCTGGCATTGTCACTCAGACGCTCTGTGGGCAGGGAAGGCTATTTTGCTTTACAACGGAATACATGACAGAAATAACCTGACAGGGGTCATGAAAGGGGAACCAGAATAGACTTAATGGTGATCAAATCAATCAAACCCACTGCCATCAAGTCGACTCTGACTCCCAGGTTTCCAGGACTAGTCATCTTCACAGGAGTAGTAGTAGACAATCTCATCTTTCTCCCAAGGAGTGACTAGTGGGTTTGAACTGCCCACCTTGCAGTTAGCAGTCCAATGCTTATCCCATAGTGCCACAGAGCTCCTTAATGATGTTGACAACAAACAATTATTGAAGGTTTAGTAAGAAGAGGCCAAATGGCTTTACACTGAGCTTATAAGCAAAGGAGGGATGAAAGGGTTGTCTAAGACCAACCAAAGCAAAGCAAACCCACTGACATGGGGTCTGACTCATAGCGACCCTATAAGACACTGTGCCACAGGAGTTTCAAGGCTGTCATTTTTTCGGAAGCAAACTGTCACATTTTTCACCTGTGGAACTAACGGTGGGTTCGAACGACTGACTTTTCAGGCAGCAGCTGAGCACTTAAGCACTGCTCCCCCAGAACAGGGAATTCAAATTCATATACTGACATGGGCTAGGCAGGCAAAGTGACAAGGACAAGATGTGCTAGTACAAGAAGTGTGGAGTGGATAAGATAGCTTCATTTAAAGGGAACAGCACTTCTCGGCTGCTGCCAAGTATTGCCATGCAGGAATGAGAGCCTCATAATGCCGCTTTTCATCTTTTCAGGAGAAATGAGAGATTCTTATGTGCGATATCTCAAATTTTAGATGATGTCAATTGATTTAAGATTTTTTTAAATGCCAGCAAACCAAAAGGAGACCTGGTGGTGCTAACTAAAAGGTCAGCAGTTCAAACCCACCAATCCTTCTGGGGAAGAAAGATGTGGCCGTCTCCTTCTATAACCCTGTGAGACAGCTCTACCCCTGTTCTGTAGGATCACTGTGACTCAGAATCCATGCAATAGCAATGGACTTGGTTTGGCTTGGCTTAATGGAAACCAAACAAAAACAGTCAATGACTACATGAAACCGTCGTCATAGTCAACTCCAATTCATGGACACTGCATGTGTGTCAGAGTAGAACAGTGCTCCACAGGCAATGGGTGATTTTTTTCAGAAGTAGACCAGGCTTTTCTTCCAAATCACCTCTGAGTGAATTAAAACCTCCAACCTTTTGGTTAATAGCCAAACTCATCAAATGTTTGCGCTACCCAGGGACTCCTGTCTAAATGATGTCAGAATCTGTAGGATAAGCACTGGACTGCTAACCGCTAGCTAACTGCAAGGTGGGTGGTTCAAATCCACCAGTCGTTCCTTGGAAACTCTATACAGGGTTACTAGGAGTCAACTTGACAACAGCAGCAACACCCTTCACATCAGCAACAATTGCAGGGATTGCACGGTTCAGAAACTAGAAGGGTTTCCAGCTTCTCATTGATTGTGGTTGCCACTGATCTCTCACTGTCCGTTGAGGAATGCTTAGGCAGTTCAAACATTCATAGCATCTACTCCCTCTGTGCCAAACTCAGCAACCAGGTCGATTCCCAGACTGAGGGAGGCAAGGGTCAGCCACTTGGGACATCACTAGGAAGCAGGTATAGATACACCCACCCAAAAGCCCTCCACTCTCCCTCTCTTCCATCTCCCATAAGCCCACTGTCTCCACCTGCAGAACTCTGTGCTTCCAGGAGATGTCTCAAAACAAGCGCTCTCAACTCTCCCCCAAAGCTGGAAGCATGTGTGCTGGCTATAGTCCCAGGATGGGGAGGGAAAGCTGTTTTCATTGTGTGGTGATGACTCTAAAGCTAAGAGAGCGGGACATAGTTTACGTTTCAATCAAGTTGTTCTGAAACATCGATAATCTCAGCCATCAAGTCAAGGCTGAGTTACACTGAGTGTTTTTGGCTAAAGTGAGGATATGTGAAGCACTGGAAATTCTTTCATCAGAGCAGTCTTGGAGTGAGAACATAAGGTTACCAGGCTATACCATCCACTCGTAGCATCCTTCTCCAAGGGGATGATGGATAGGTGGGGCTTTTCTCAACTGTGCAGCTGAAAGACTGATCTATCAGACACCAGCAGTGATTGGAAAATTTGTCTCGGAATTTTTGCATCACTTTGCTGTCCTAACTGAATCAGTTCAACATGATTCATCTCTCCTCGCACTTCAGTGTGTGTGTGTTGGGGCGGGGGGGGGGGGCAGAATGCTCTTTAAAAGCAGATTGGTCCATTCTGACTTGTCCTTTGATCATCTTTCATGGTTGAGAACTTACTTGTGTGAAATACATCATGTCCTTCCAACCCTTCCTGGCCCTTAAAGGAGTCTGTCTGATAACACCTACTCTTTAATAACACCTAGGTGTCCTGGTGTGGCACTGTGGGTTAATGTGCTGGACTGCAAAGTTGTTTTGAACTGCAAGGCTGGTGATTCAATCTTACCAGTCACTCGTAGAAAAAGCTATACAGGGTCTCTATGGGTCATAACTGAGTCTCTATGGCACTTAACAACAACAACTCTTCCTTTGCCTCTCCACAATCCTTCCCCCTGAGACTGGTCCTCTATCTATGACCAACTGTTAACTCCACAGAGAGACGAGTCCCGTTGTCCATATCTTGTCTCTGCTTTGCCTGCAGCAAAAAGCCAAGGTCAATAAAAATACACGGTCACATGTACACAACAGTAGTGGAGGCTGTGATACCCAGGCAGAGATTCCCCAGACTCCACAAAGGGCTGGTTCTCAATAGAGCAGGGTCCCTTGGTTCTACCTACTTCCTGCCACCTCTTCAGCTGGAAGAAGATGCCAGAGGGTGGGTGAGTCTGTCTTCCTGACTCATTTCTATTGTCAATCCTGACCTGCATGCCTGTGGAGGCCTCCTTACACTCTGGTTCTCCAGGGTTCTCAGTTCTTGGTCACTCTCAGAAACCGCTCTAAAATTCTCAGTTAGTTTGGAGGAGAGGTAGGTGTTGGGTGGGTGTGTAGCAGAGACTTAACAGGGCCCAGCAGTGCCCTGTTCTCTGCTAGGTGTAAAGCTGGAACGGAACCACACTGTGGGGCCTGGGAACCCCTTTCTGTCTTCCTGCATTTCATACGCATCCCTAACTTCCTATCCGGACTTCTTACGAAAACGATGTAAAGCCTTTTTCAAACTATGCAAAACCAAAACCCAATGCTATTGAGTCAATTCTGACTCACGGCGGTCCCCTATGGGTCAGAGGCAGAACTGCGCCATGTTGCTGGCGAGTCCATTCCAACTCAGAGCAATCCTGTATGAAATTTCCAAGGTTATAAATCTTTGTGGGAGCAGAAAGTTTCATCTTTCTCCCGAGGAGTGGCTGGTGAACTTGAACCGCTGACCTTGTGGTTCTCTGTCCAGTGCTTATCCTACAGAACCGCCACACTCCCTGAACTGTTCCATAGGTTTTTTTTTAAATACTCAGACTACCCCAAAGTAAAGTAAAAGATAGTAGTTGCTATCCATACAGTAAAATATTACCCAGCAATAAAAAGAAATGAAATACTGATTCATGCTACTCTGTGGATGAACCGTGAAAACATTATGCTAAGTAGAGGAAGCCAGACTCATATTGTATGTTTCCATTATACGAAATGTTCAAGAAAACAAATCCATAGAGACAGAGAGTAGATTAGTGGTTGCCAGGGGCTGGAGGAGAGGCTAATAAGGAATACAGGGTTTCTTTGGGGGGTGATGAAAACGTTCTAGAATTAAATTGTAGTGATGGTTGTACAATCTTATAAATATAAGGGCAACTACTAAATTATACACTCTCCAAGGGTGAACTTTATGGTATTTGAATTATATCTCTATTTTAAAAATACAGTCGATCCCTGAACAACAAAGGCTTGAGCTGTGTAGGTCCACTTATACACTAATTTTAAAAAACCCAAACACTGTGTGAAGCTAATCATCTCTGCGAGAGCAGGACATCTCTCCAGCAAACTGCACATCACAGTAAAAAGTGATCTTTCCTGGCTCTCACAGTTTTTCATCGTGTTCAATGTTAATACCATAAACCTTAAATATCACCATGGGAACCATAAGAAGTGTCACTAGTGATGCTGCAAGTGATCTCAAGAAGCAGAAGAAAGTCATGACCTTGCAATAAAAAGTGGAATTGCTTGATACGTACTGTAGATTGAGGTCTGCAGCTGCCATTTCAGGAGAAATGAACCCATTGTAAGGAGCCATGGTAAAAAGGAAAAGGAAATTTGCGTAGCCATCGCCGCAGCTATACCAGCAGGCGTGAAAACCTTGCACTTTTTGTGAAATACTTGTTCATCTCATATGGAAAATGCAGCTATTGTGTGGGTGCAGCCCATAATACATATAACATGAAAAATACATGATAATTCATTGTCTTATCAGTAAGGCTGGCAGTCAGCAGTAGGCGATTAGCAGTCATTTCAAAGAATCAAAAGTTATTCATAGACTCTCCGACTATTCTGGGTACCAGTGCCTCTAACCCCCATGTTGTTCAAAGGTCAGTTGTAAGTAATTGAGAGCGAGGAAGAGAGTAAAGGTGGGGAAAAGCAGATATAGAATTTGGCAGTTAGAGCCAAAAATGTCAGTGTGATGTCCAGAAGAGACATGGGAGTCCAGAGGAAGCGTCCAGGGAGTCAGGTGAGACTGCAGGAGGGGAAGCACTCATGGTTCGCTGGAGAACGAGGGCACTGAGGCAGGAGGAGTAAGTCTTGCCTTACTCACTGTCTACTAAGCAACAAGCTCATAGCATCCTCCAGAGAACCCTAGTGGGGCAGTGGTTAAGTGCTCAGCTAATAGCCAAAAAAACTGGTGTTTCAAACCCACCAGCCTCTCCGTGGGAGACAGATACATCAGTCTGCCTTGGAAACCTTACTTTGTTATATAGGGTCATTATGAATTGGAATTGACTCTGTGGCAACCA